AGAAGGTAAGTTGGGTTGAAATGTTATTCTTGTACTTGTATAAGAGTTTTACTTAGATGTGAATTCAAAGTGTACATAAACACTTAGCACTTCCACAAATTGCAAAAAATGTTTAACATGATTTTCATGCTCTAAGTCAATGACCAATAATTTACAATCTAACGATTGTAACAACTAAAACTAATGCCATTGGTTTTCTCTAAAACTAGACTTTCGTACTGATAAAAAAAATTTTTAAGAAAAATTTTATTAAAGAAAAATATATACATTTTAATTATTAATTTTTATATTTAATCAATTTACAACTCATTCCTGCACAACACGTGTTATCGACCAGGTACAACAATGATATAGAATTTAATCTTACATTAATAGTTTTTATTCTTGCACAAATTTTATTTTAGGTCTTAAGTTTATCATAATTTTTAAAGCCTTTCTAATATTCTTTACAACATGCTTATTAAGACAATTTGGTTTTTAGAATACGTTTCAATGTGGTAAGATAATTTTAAAATTTACTCTTTACCGTCAATGTTTATCCTTTATGTGAAATTTTTTAATTTAGACTAAAAAATTATAATTATCATTTTAATCGTTATAAATAAACATTTATCGCTTTTTTTTCAAATTACATAGATTATAATCGAACAATTAATATAAAGCAAATAATATTTACGATCTAAATATTTAATTTGCTTTTTAATTAAAAACTATAAGATAACAAACAATTTAAATTTCTAAGGCTATCATTGGGAATATAAACAACTTGTAATAAATCTTTTATAGTAACTCTTTTTGCCCATCATTGTTATTATATTTCTTCTTCGTACTCCTAGTACTTTTGCTACTCTACTCATACCCCTCTTAAATAATTTTTTTGTACTTTTTGTTAGTCGTTTTTTTAATAAGGGTTACATTACCACATGTTTAAAAAACCCTATAAAATTTTATTTTAAAATTAACTATAAAATGTGGTATGTTACCACGATTTCATAATCTTTGTTAAAAAATTTTTCATTTTTACTTAAACAATCAAATTAAAATTTAAAATATTTTTATGATAGCTATCTTGAAAAAAGAAAAAAAATTATGATTTTTTAAACTGCAAAATCTATCTATAAATTATAAAAGGATAAGGAAAATTTTTGTTCAATTTTTAATACTTCTTTTTTTGAATTTGTAAAATTATTTGTATTTTTTATTAAGAAAAAATAAATCAAGTATTAAGCTTATTTTATGAGGACAACACGATGTTTTTGTGCATTTTCCTTTGGTTTAATTCAATTTTTTATATTGTAAAATAAGGAAGATTGCAAAATGTAATTATTAATATAGAGGAAATTTATTACTTTTGAACATTAAATACAAGCTCAAAGATATACCTTAGATTGAGAAAAAGAGAATACATCGTGTTTATAGTTCCGTTTAGAACGGAATAGTATTAGCATGTGTAGTATAAAAGGATAAAAATTAAATTTAAATTACCCCTGATTGGACAATTTTTAGTATAGTTCTAAAAAAATAAATTTTACTTACATTTTTCAATTCCCAAACATAAAAAAAATGAAAAATATCTAAATCCGAGATATATAGAAATTTTTAAAAAATGTATAAAAAAAACACAAAAGGTAATTTTAATCGTAATCAAGATTTAGAGTTAATCCAAATAGTCAGTCTTTCATAATTTCAGAAAATTTATTTCTAGACAACATAAATTGTAAAAGTTAATATAAATTAAATAAGAAGTTCTATTTCAAAAAAAAAATATTTTTCTCTTCTGCTAGATCAATTCCTTTAATGATGTTAATGTAAACACAAGTCTCTTTATTATTCAATTTGATTGTAAAATTGCCTGTTTTATGTTTAAAATAACTCCAAGGTGAAATAGGCCTACCAATTATTTAGGCAAATTGTCCCGTGTCTTTTTGTGCATTGTTATTATTTAAAGCAGAGTTTCCTTATTTCTTCGCTTAACGCGTTTAACAACAATCCTTCTCGTTAATCTATCAATCGCTATTTAAAAATACACATTTCAGTTTATGTCCTTGATTGTATTATCTCCTATCAAATTTTAATTCGTTAACTTCATTGACTTTTTCATTGCCTCTTATACATAAAATTCTTAAATAACTTTCTATCAGTGGCTTTGCATTTGCTTTTTTTTTCATAAAAGAAGCTGCATGTGGGTTAATCTGCAGCGTCAAGATATTATTGCTATATTACTTTATTAAAGAAATATATCTAAGAATAGAATGACTGTGCATACATAAAATTTTTATTTTGAAAAGTTATTTGCTTATTTATAATGTTGGTTAAATATAAAATTATTTTATAATTATGATTAGCAAACAGATATGTCGTCAAAGCCACCAACTTAATATTACTGATTAAAATGCTTACACTTCTGCGTCCTACATATAAAATATTTACATCTTGAAAATTTTTGAGTACAGCGTGTTATAGATTTACAAATGAATTCAATAATTGCTTTGCATTCAATGCTTCCTCGTACTATTAATATTTCTTCAAAAAACTTATTTTGTTATTTAAAAAGCTGTTATTTAAATAAAAAAGAAAAAAATGACTTTAATAACTATTTTTTATTTATTTGTGTTTGAAAATTGAAAGAAAAAGATAAAAAAAAATTGGGGAGTAATCGAAAACCGTACAAATAAATAAATTTTACCAACAAAAAAGATTAAATTATTGTGAAATTAACAAGTAAAAAATGTTCAAGTTTATTAATAAAAATCATTTATTTAAACTTTCAACATACTTTTCCAAATTGTCGGGATCGTCAATATTTAATTTTTGGAACACTTCCTCTGCATTTTTTCTGTAAAAATGAAATATATGCCTTCTTCTTGTTCTATACCAAACGTCTACATTAGTTAGTAATGCTATACTTTCAAATGCTAGTTTCAATGTTTTTTCACCAGACGAAATTATGAATCGAAAACTTCCTATTAAAATGCCATAAAAGCTATTTATCGTCATTTTATTATGACCTAAATATAGATTAGAAAACTTTTGTATATCATTAAAAAATTCAATGTTTAGAATATCTTTCTTTTTATAATTACTAAAAAACTCATCAGCTTCTTTGGCAATAAGAGTGTATAACAAATTATTTACCTCTTCATTCTTAGGCGTCATCATAAAATAAATCTTAGAAAGTTTCTCCTTAGTAAAGAAATGTTTCAGAGAAGCAATTATTTGCCCTCTATTATTATCATTTATATTTTGTGTAAGAACAATAATTTCACTTACGTTTAAAATATTATAATGACCCAATATTTGCATTAATATGAGGTATGAAGCAGAACCCGGATTTTTACAAATTTCATATAATACGTGATCTAGCAGATTTTCAGTTTTAAATTTATGAAAAATAATTTTGTATCTAGCAAAGTCAATATCTTTTGTCTTCGTATATAAATCCAAAATCTTATTGCAATCTTGGTATGTTTCTTCAGAAATGAGCTGACAATTTTCCTCAGAGTTTAAGAGATTATAGCAACAAGAATAACAAAATGATGTACCTAAATTTTCAAAAGATACTACTTTTTTTTTAAATGAAACATTAAAAAAATTATTATCAAAATTATTTAACAAATCGAGTAGATATTCATCATTGATTGCATCATTTAATAGGATATAATTTGACACAAAATCAGAGAATGTAAAGACTTTAGTAATTAAGGTGCATACATCTGTACTGTTGTTATCATTATTGACAGTATTGTGTAATTTTATTAATTCAGTTGTATATTGCTTTTCTACATTGTATAAATCCTTAACGTCAATTTTAAAGAAAAGCATCAAATTTCTTAACTTTACAGGAAAAAAAAATTTCATCTTGTTTTCTTCTTCAAAACACTTAATAGTATCGTCATAAGATCTTTTTATAAGTGAAAAGCAAAATTTAGTATCTACCATTCTGTTTCTCGAAAAACTTAGACAAAGCTCTTCTATTTGTTTTTGCTTGTTACTATCATAAAGTTTAGCAATAAAATCTGATTGAACTCTATCATAAAAAAATTGTTTAAGATTGAAATTAATATCATTCTCAGATGTATGAAGTACTAGCTTACAAAATACTGTAAATTCCTGTAATTTATTGAAATTGCGAAATAGATAATAATCACAAACTTTTTGAAGTGCTTCATCTGCTGTATTATACTTAATTCTTTCTCCTTTAAAACCATATTCAGATCTAAATGCTTCAGTTATAAATTCTTGAAAACTAATTTCCTTATCATCAACTGCAACTTTAAAAACATAGTATTTTTTTTCCAAGTTTATTAAAAAATAGTCTTTAGTCTTAAATTTTTGTTTAACGATATCTAATAAATTCTCATAAATGTTTTTAGTGGATTCTAAATAAGTAAAAAATAATACTAATAATTCAAGTTTCATTAAAATACTAGGGGTTTAGAAAAAAATAATTCAAAAATAACATAAATCTTAATAAAAGATAAAGTATAAAAAATAAATTTAAATTTAGATCATTGTTGAATAAAAACATGGGTTTAATTTATCAAAATTATTTAAAAATGTTTCTGTAAATATAGTAAATTTGATCTATTTAACAAAACATTATAAACATATTCTTATTCCTGCAATCATATTTATGTAATTTTCATCCTAAAATAGTATATTGTGGTATTCTTATTATTTGCTACATTGAGCTGATGGAAAGTAAGTTAACAGAAGAACTGAGGGACTTGAATAATTAGTTTATAAAGAAAGAAGCTTTATTAAATATATTTTAGTAGGTTCTTACTACATTTTTGCTAATTTTTCGGAAAAATCTTTTTTTTTAATTTATGAACGAAAAGGAAAACAGTATAAACTTCCGTATAACAAAGAGAATGGTAAGAAGCATTTTAACAAATTATTATTTATTAAAATAATGTTAAAAACTATTTTAAGTTCAGTTTCCTTCCCCAAGTATGCTACATTTATTAGATTTAAAAATTTCGGAAAATATTGACATAAATTTTTTAAAAATTTAAAAAATGATTACGAAAATTATATTTTATATAAAGATTATTAAATATTATTTTACATTATTAAAAGCAAGTATTTTTTTAATAAGATATTCAGGCGTGTAAAAAAGAAATATTTTATATTACTCAATAATTTACTATTTTTAGAAAATTTATGATTTTTTTTGTAACATCACGCTTACTGTAAAATCTTTCATATTATTAAAAATTTATATAAATTATCAACGCGAAGGTTAAAAAATTTAATTTTAAAGAACTTTTTAAAGTATTTAAAAAATTTCCCTCTTACTTTTAGAAAGTAAAGATATGAATAGAATTAATGAAAAAAAACCTTTTTAAATGAAACACATTGCTGTAATAAGAATAAATCATATTAAACGTATAGATGACCATCATAAGTCTTTGGTTAAAAGTATATTTGAATACTTTAGGGGGTGTAAGGGTTTTTAATAGGTCACTTATAGTTTTATTTTTTGAATATATTACTTCAAAAATATTTCCTTTAATTAACAAACTAAGCAAGCCACCATTTGTTTTTTTCAAGATATAAAAAACAAGCCTTGTAAAAAAAAACATATTTTAATGTTTAATTTATTATTCAAAATATCATTACATGTAATGCGTTAAATTTCCAAACCTTGATATAAAATCTAGTAATAAATTTCGTTTTCATGTTTGAATTTATAAACTTAGAAGGAACAAAATTTAGATACGCATGTTTTAAATTATTATGTTTCATTACAATTTTACGAATCACAAATGTCGTTATAAAATAAAACATAATTTTTTTGTTCTATTTAAAATATATAAATTTTAAACTCTTAATTTTACGATTAACATCATGTTCGAGACATACACAAAAAAAATTATTTAAAATTTTAATAGAACATAATAGACAGTGTTTTTTTTTTATGTGCAATTTATGCTTAACAAAAAATTAAAAAAATGACATTGGTATCACCTCTAGTGAGGTGGTCAAAACGAAAATATTCTTCCAATATAAAACTGATAAAAGAACTTATTTTTATTTTATTAGTTTTATTTTTAGTCTGGGGTTCTATCTTTGTAGAGTTGTATTGGTATCTTTCCACCATTGATTTTCATTCCCTCTTTTATAAAATTCTATTTATAATAAAAAAAAGTTCTAAAAAATTTGTATTTTAAATATTTAAAAAGTAAAAATAAATGACGTGGATACCGCAGACATGAACATCTTTTTCTTGCTACATGTAGTTTTAGTTTATTCATAACATTTTTTAGAATAATAACGATTTTTTTTGAGATAATATTATAAATTACAAGACTGCAATTTAATTATATCTCTTTTAACATTTTATATGCTTCGTTTATTTTACTAGTGAGTTAAAAAGAGTTTTTTTTTATCTGAATGATCCATTTTTATAAGATTTTTGTATTTTTTTTCAATAGTATCCTCTTTTCTCATGTTTTTAATATCTCTAATTCTCCATATTTATCCATAATTCTATTAAAAAAAGCCAGAGAAAATTAAAGGAAAAAAATCTTTGTAACATTTTAGTGGTATTAGCTTAATAAATTAATTTCTATAGATCTTTTAAATTTTTATTTAGGCCTTGATTTATTTTATCATGTGTTGACAGAAATCTTAAACCCCATCAATTAAATTGATTTGTTTTTTTGCATGTGTGTTTATTCTTTAAAGAAAGAGTATTCTTTGTTATAACTTAAAAATACACACTTTTTTTAATATAAATTATTAGGAATTACCACAATTTAAAGTTAAAAAGCAAAAAATTATAACATTTTCTGCCAAAGGATAAGCCTCGTACCTATAATAAAACAAGCAACCGGCTTTTGGAATAATAATGCCTTTTCTTAACATAACTCTAATTTTTAACTTTATGATTTATAAGTCATTTAAACATACTTGTATCGCCTTACCTCCGTCTAAAAATCTTCTTTTGGTATATTTATTATGCACTTTTACGTTTTCGTTTTAGGCTAACCTTACTTTGTGGCTTCTAAAAAAATTTTCTCTATACCATTTTTACAATTTAGCTGCATACTTATGCTCCGAGCTATTCTCTATCATAACAATCTCAGTATTGTCTTCCAACGCCTTTACTGACGTAAATTTTATATGTACATGATAACTATAGTTGTAGTTTTTTATCATTTTTAAACATTCAAACAGTTTGTTTTCTTGCTTTCTAAAATATCATCTCTCAATGCCCTCACAGCTCTTTCGCTCAACTTTATCTTTCAACCTCGCTAATTTTTAAAAAATATATTCTATTTTTCTAAAAAATAGTTAGTTAAGAAAGTGATATTTATATGTTATAACTATACATCGCACTCCTAAGAGTCTTGTTTTCGCTATTTAGGAAGCTTCGCTTCCTCCATTCTCATTATTTAAAAAGCAGCCAATTTGTTATTGCTTAATGCCACCACGCTTTTGATAAGTGTGCTTAAGATGAAACTATAGATTTTTTTTTAAGACTCCTTCTTAAGACCTGCTTTGGATCTGCATGCATCAAAGAACATCTGTAAGCATACCCGTTTATACACGTAGCAGTCATCATAATCCTCATCCTACCCCTACATCTTATCATGTTATTTCTTTTTTTATGATATTATATCCTAAAAAAAATTCTACTGTCTTTGAGTTGTCTTAAAAATATGATTTGGTAAATTTAAAATTTCATATTTTTTCTTTTTAATTTTCCATAAAAAAGATTAAAAAAAACTTTTTTTATCTTCACTTCATCTTTCCATACCTTTAAATTTTATGTACAAAATTTGAAGAAAGTGTACGTAGTTTTTGGAAAAAAAGCTAAAAAGATGAAGTGGCGCAAAATATCATACGTAAAATTATTTATTGGATGTTTATTGCCTATTCCATTTTAAGAGTCCAGATCTTTCTTTATATGGATTTGTTTTCGTATCCTTCGTCCTTTTCATCTAGGGTTTACATTGTTTCTTTGTTAATTTTGTTTTATTAAAATCATCAAATAAATGAATTGACATTCTAGGTTTCTAAATTCTTACACTGATCTGAATAGTTCCCAACTTTTAAAATCACTATTTTTAAATCAATCTTACCTGTCAAGTGTCTTATATGGTTTTGCCTTAATTAATATCTGCTTTTTCTACCAGAGGTCTTATAAAGAATCTTGAGTGTCAACCGATATCTGCTAAAAAACCTCCTTAAACCTCTCTATGTATCCTTTAAATATTATTTGTTTCTATTACAATCACTTATGTTTACATATCTCCTTTCTTTTGTCACCAACTCCCTTCTTCCTGTCTTGGTCATTTTATAACCTTTTTCAGTCATTACTTCAAAGTCGCTTAAGCTTAAATTGCTAAAACTCAACCATTTAAATTTTTCTTATACTTTTTATTAAAATACGCTTCTCTTGCCTTTCTGCCAGAACGATTCCGGTCACATATAATTATTATTAGCAGTAAAGTAAATAACACCCGTATACCATATTTACGCTTTTATCATTAAAAATTGCTTCTTTAACCGTATACTTATAAACTTTTTGTTGACTCCTCATATTCTTTTATTTTCTCTCGCTCTCTTCCTCTTCCCTACTCTCATAGTGCGTTTTTTTCTAAATTCTTCTACTTTTTCTTTTTTCTTCAAATTTCGTATCATAATAATATTCAACACTCTACTCGCGCTTTCTAAAATTTTCTTTCTTTAGAACTCAACTTCAATCATCTCTAAATCCAGAACATACAAAACAATTCCCGATACTTCTTAATGTCTTCTGAAAACCTGGACATAGTCGGCATAAAGAACAATTTGTGCGTATTGCTCCTACTTGTGCTTATCGTAAATTGGAGGAGCTTAAATAATTGGGTCTTTTTGATAATTTTGCCTACATTTTTTTTCCAAAAAATAAGGGAAAAAAAATAAATATTAACAATTTAATTAGACAAATATTTTTTTTACCTCTGAAAACTCGATATTATTAATGTCCATGATATCTCCTTTTATGTGTATATTTAACGGTCTAATCATCAATTTAATCTCTAAAAAACGCTATTTTTCTTTCGCATTGTACTTTTAATATAGCTCCAACCCCCCCGTTATATTATAAGCATGGGTTCTGTATTGTGATCTAAATCCAACCGAATGATTAACGATAGAATGACTTAGATTTCTTTCAACGGCGAAATAAGAAGCAAAGCCATCAGGATTTAACATGCTTTCATGCTTAACATAAGGACTTATTGCTTCTTGTATAAAAGGAATTGTTCGATTTATCCCACTAACAATAAAAAAATATCCCCAGTATAATCAGCAGTCGTAAATTTTCAAATAATCCTGTGTAGTTAAAAAACATTTCTTCTACTTCGACTATATTCTTAGGTTCCCTGTGATAACTATATATGTATAATATCCAATTTAAAACATCTTAATAGCAAAATTTTATAATTAGCTATTGTTGCATCTAAAAGCTAAAGAAATTATACAACTGAAAAAAATTGATACCTAACAGCAAACAATAAATAAGTTATACTACTTTCGTTAAAAAAATTTTAAATGAAATAAATAGGGTCTTTTCTGGAATCCTCTTTTGAGACATTTATAAGCTGTAATGTTTATTTTGCCTTTTATAATCAAAAATTTACATAGATTCATGCAATGTTGACAATCACGTATAGATGAAATGATATCATTCTTAATTAAAAATTCCTTAGGTTTTTTATTTCACAAAAAATTATAATTTATTTAATTTTTTAAGGGCTAATTTTAAAGCACAACCCTAACAATATTAGTCAAATTCAATCTATGGTAATAAAAATCAAAATTTGAATATACTTTTTAAATATTTACAATAGAAAAGGTTTACAATATTATTTATGGTTTTAAGGTGCATTTTGGACAAATAAAGAAAATTTTAGCGTTTTTTATTGGCTTGTCTATAGAATTCTGCTTACAATTTAATTTTGTAGTTTTTGTTTATAATCATCACCACCTTCTATATATATAAAAAGTTTAAATCTTAATATTTTTTTATTTTTAAACCCTTCTTTTTAAAAAATTTTAAAATTCTTAGTATTTTTCATTAAGAACGAGTAGCATCATTTGGGGATTTTTTCTCAAAGCACGGAACGTTGTTTTTGTGCATTTCCCCTTGTTTTTAATTAGTTTAATTAATATTATATAAGGTGTCTATAGCATATTTCAATTAATAATAAAAAGAGCCAATTTGTAATTAAAAATAATAAAATAAGTACATACTAAAGGGCATCATATACATTTAAAAAGAAAGAACACACATTATGTTTGTAATCCCGTTTTAAACGGGATAGTGCAAGCTAATAAATATATATAAAAAATTTGAATCCGAACATTATTATTTTTTAATCTTTTTTTTTTTCAAATTTTGGAAAAGTTTTTTTAAATAAATAAAAATCTTTCATGGTTGACTATATTATATAAAGCTTAATTTTTCTAATATATATAACCTTTAGTTGTTTTCAATTATTCAAATTATAAAATGTGCGCTATTGTCATCTAAAATTAAAAGTGTTACATGTGTAATTTTAAAACAATACATACATGCATAAGACATATACACATAATTTAAACAAAGAAAGCATGTATCGTATTCAAGTCCCCATTTTAAATGGAATAGCATTAGCTAGTTGATATATAAAAAGAATTTATAGTAGAAGAAAAGATAGATATAAGTCTAACTTCATTTAATTAAAAATATTTAGCTCGCATGGACAAAAAATGCGTGCATTATACTATAAATGACATAAATATAGATGATAGTGTTTTAATAAAAAAGATTTTAACACTAAGAGTAAAACAAAAAAGTTTAAATAAGATTCATTTTATTCTACGATTAAAAAAGAAATTAAATTTTTAGCAATAATAGCATAAAAATTGAAAATAATGATACTGTTAAAACTGTTTTAATGACTCTAGTAAAAAAAATGTTCTTTTCGATAATTCTCTTTTTCTTGCATGTTTACGCTCCTACTCCTTATAGTGTTATAAAAGTAAACTTATCTAGATTTGATATGCACATCACTTCTTG